GGTGATCGCACTCACTTCTCAGCCAAAAAGAGGCCAACAGATTCGTTTTCATGACATCAGCATTTCTACAGTACTGTTAATGAGGCAGTCCCTGTGTGAGTAAATTATTGGGGACTGTCTGTTTCTACTTTGATCTTTGCTCTCTCATAATGTTTCTTTTTGGATGCAGTTCATCGTATGAGGTATGGGTAATTTGATTCTGGTATTTTGGGTCTGTGAGGAAGAATTCAGATACAACGTGTCAAGGTATGTGATGTGATTTGTGTTGTGTCAGTGTTAGCTGGATTAATGGTTTAGTGGCATCAAGCTCTGTTCCAAAGCTGCCTTGCTTTCCACTGCCTGCATGCATAGGCAGCTGCCTTCTAAGGCAACACCGAATGTGAAATTGAATTTATCAAAACAAAAGTGACAGTTTTGAAACCCTGTACGTAGGTACCTGCATGTAACACAAACAGCGAGTGCTCATCATGTACAGCGCACAGGAGACTTGACACAATTGAATACAGTGGAGTTTGGCATTAGCATGTTACTAAGCTAATGACAAGATATTAATTTAAGTAATTTAACTATTAATTTAACTAACTTGAAATGAATTAATTATTATAAAAATATTTATTTACTCTTTTCTGTTATCTCTGTCTCTATTCACAATTTTGGTTACCTGTGAAATATATATATTGGCACAGAGCTGTAACTATGCTGATTCACATTTGAAATTAATTTGGATTTGGACCGCTGCCTGGTCCAGTAAGTCTGTGCTGGACAGAGTTTAGATTTTTATTTTTGTTGAGTTTTATTTTGTTTTTTATTCAAACCAAGATCATAAAGTTTTACTGCAGACAGTTCATGTTTGTTTGTTTGTTTGTTTGTTTGTTTATTTATTTATTTATTAAATGTAGTCATATATGATCATAAAATGTTATCATTTACATATATTTTGTTTTATTTATTATTAAATTTTTTAGTAATTTAAGATATTTTTTTAAGTATTATTTAGTCACAAAGAGTCTTTTATTATTTATTTAAAAATATTTTATTTAGTCAGGATCATACAATGATATTGTTTACATATTTTTTTTGTAGTTTTGCTTATTATTATTTAGTTTTTTATTATTTAAGATAATTTGTTATTTATTTACATTTTTAAATAGTATTATTTAGTCATGAAGGGGCATTTTTTGTTCATTTATTTATTTCTTTATTTATGTATTTTTAATAACTTTATTTTATTTTTTATTATTTTGGTTAAGTGTGTGTGTGTGTACACACACACATGCTTAACCATAATAATAAAAAAAAAATATCAAAAATCAATGTGTATATATACAGTGTGTATGTGTGTGTGTGTGTGTATATATATATATATATATATA